GGCCCCCCCCCCCCGAGGTGTTAGTTTCTTGAGGAAGTAACCAGGGCTCTGGGAAGCGTCACATTATTTACAGGGAGCATCCTCCTGACATCGGCTCGGGGTCACTGACAATTGCACGCACTCAGGTAAATAAAGCGATTAGCTCTTCTCAGATCAACATAATTACGTCTCTCAAATAATGCGTGGGAGGTGGTGTGACCCACTGACAAAGGGGCAGCAGTCTGTACGACCCCTTCTTTGTGTTTAAATAGCGGTTACTAAGGCAGAACATTGCCCCTGGAACATTCCATCACTGGGGTCTGTTCCACTCAGGCCTCAGTGTCAAAAACGCCTTTCAGGGGGATTGGGGTTCTGTGTAGGAAGCTGAGGTGGCCTCCCTGCCACTCCAAGGACACTCCAGGCCCTGAGGCTTTAGCCCGGATCCTGTGGAAAAGGGCCATGTACCCACCCTGCCAGCTGGTTCTGCACCCGAAGGCCCTGTGCATCTGGCCGCTCCCCTCCCCCACCAAAGTCAGCGTTGAAAAGAAAGTGGGCAGGTGGCGAATCCCTTCTCCAGCTCTGGGCACATTGGAGACCACACTCTAAGGAGCAGGATCGGGGACTGCCCGCAGCTGAGGAAGTCTGGTTTCCCTGGTGCCCCATGGTTGACGCAGCCCATCATTAATGTCACCGTCTAGGGTTCCCCTCTGAAACGGAAAGCGCGGACTCGCGTGCTCCCCACAAAACACTCGCCTGATTCATAAGGAAGTTAGAACGTCCAGCCCTGGCCGATGTGGCTCAGTGGTTAGAGCGTTGGCCTGCGCGCCAAGGAGTTCGATCCCCCATCAAGGGCATGCACTTGGGTTGCAGGTTCAGTCCCCTGCCCTGGTCGGGAGCGTGCGGGAGGCAACCAGTCGATGTGTCTCTCTCACATGGATGTTTCTCTCTCTCTCCCCCTCCCTCCCTCTTCCACTGTCTCTAAAAAGCATGGAAAAAATATCCTCAGGTGAGGAGATACATATATATATATATATTTTTTTTTTTTTTTTTTTTTTTTAAGAACTTCCAGAGAACATTTTCAGGCACTCTTGCCTGTTGCCCTCATCCCACTGGCATTCTGGGATGAGTATGTATCTGAGAAACAGTTGTTCTTTGTTACTTTACATTCGCTCCTTTATGGATATAATATACTTTCAGCTAAATTTTAAAAGTACAGATTTACATTCGTGGGACCAGCCAGCCAGTCAGTCAGGGTGTGTTTAGCGAGTATTTGCTACACCACGAAACCACCATCTCACTAAAATAATGGAAAGTGAGTTCAAAGAGTAGAAGCAAAGGGCAGAAGCCTGGGCTGAGGCTCGAGAATTGCTGTGTGTCTGGGCCGGCCGAGAGTTTGGAGCGGTTACTTTGTTCTCCGTGCCAGAGCTTCTCAGCCAATTGAAGCTGTAAAGTGTGGTGGCAGCGAGAAGCGCTGGGCAAGCATGCGGCAGGCCCGTGGCGCACTGCAGTGGTCACTGTGCATGAAATGAGGGTGTGGCCCCCGCAGTCCCCGGCCCGGCCCGGCCCGGCCCTGCCGTCTGCGCTCAGACCGTCGGGGCCCGTGAGTGGGGCACCAGCTCAGGAGGGAGTGTGTGGCGCCAGGCACATGCTTAGCAAACTCAGTGCGTGTTCCCTTGACTTAAAGACATTAGACTTCTCTCTCTTTTTAAAAATATATTTTTATTGATTTCAGAGAGAGGAAGGGAGAGGGAGAGAGAGAAACGCCAATGATGAGAGTCGTTGACCGGCTGCCTCCTGCCCGCCCCCTGCTGGGGATCGAGCCCGCAACCCGGGCACGTGCCCGGATGGGGAATCGAATCGTGACCTCTCGGCTCATGGGTTGATGCTCACCCCCTGAGCCACGCCGGCCGGGCTGGACTTCTCTGAATCAACGTCTGTGTCCCCTGTAGCTCTCTAGAAATAAAACCTCACTGACTGGGGCGGGAAGACTGGTGCAATGCTTTGGGGGCTGCGGTCACTTTCTGTTTTCGTTTAGCAGGCTGCAAAAGAACCTGTGGTCAACGGTATGAATATCTAACGACCGTTTCTTTCACGGATGCAGTGGGGTCCAGTGTCAGAGCCATATGCGTAACGATGGTCCCTTTTCCTTGCAGAGCTGAGCTACGCCTGGATCTTCAACGACTACCCCTCCTACCAGGATAACCGGCGCTTCGTCTCTCAGGAGACTGGGAATCTGTACATCGCCAAAGTGGAAAAGTCGGATGTAGGGAATTACACCTGTGTGGTCACCAACACCGTGACCAACCACAAGGTCCTGGGGCCGCCCACACCGCTGATGCTGAGGAGCGATGGTGAGGTTTCCCGCGGGTTTTATCAGCTCGCTCTTTGTGACCACGTGTTGCGTGTGGGCCGTTGCGATGCTGACACACAGAGCTTGATTGTCTGAATTAAATTGGAGAAAAGTTGAAGGTGTTCTGCATTTGGTGCCCATATTCCCTCCACTTGTATAAGAAATAAACCTGTGAATCTGTGTTGGAGACCTAATTAGAAACTGGTTGCTGGTCTCACCTGGAGTGGACTGTGGGCTCAGGTGCGTATAGATAACAAGGGGACCCATCCCTTCCTCTGCCCACTTACACCACTTCCGGGCAGGGAGAAGCTGAACAGCAGGCTCCTTAACCGCTTCTGTGTAATTGGGTATCCGGCGTCCGGGAAGCAGTTTGTCTCTATCCGAGTAGCATCCAGATTTATGACACTGACGACAGCTCCGCCACAGTGAAATGCGCCCGTCGAGGTGAATTGCAGGCAGCTTTTTAGTTTCCCGCACTTTTGTGAGAATATTTTTAAAAATCTATGATTTTCATCAGTTACTCAGACGGATGACATGACCGTGGCGGGTAACTCACCGAGCACTTTCTCAGGACAGTCTGAGGAACTGTGTACCCAACTCGCGTAGCGCCTTCTCCCCACCAGGAGACTTCGTATGTGTTCTGGTCCCTCTTTCTGGCC